TATATTACCATCTCTCTCTCTCTCTCTCTCTCTCTCTCTAAATATATTATTTATTATAAAGAATTTGTATAAATACATTTTAAAAATTATTTTTTCTATTTTATGCTATTTTCTATATTGTGTATATAGTATTTACTGTATAATGTAGAATGTAAATACACTTTTATCTTCGATAAACCAATTTTTATTGAATTTTCAGCCACTGTACCTTTGTTGTGGTATATGCATACTGTTGCTGTTGCTATGACATAGGATTTAGCTTATACCACCCATCACTAATCTCTTAGGCTTTTCCCTGTCAGATAGAACAAATTTCTCGTAGTTTTACGAAGATCACAGGATTTAGTCAGGGTAATTCCAGCCATGTAGTCACACGCAGCTTCATTAAAATAGATAATTCCTCTTTTCACTTTGTCCCAGGACATAAAGGGCTGCGAGGACCAGTAGGTTGCCATGGTGATGTTTATTTATGTGTGTGTGAGGTTTTTTTTGTTTTGTTTTTTTGTTCCTGCTCTGGTCAAAAGCATTAAACATAATGCCAGTCTTCCCTTGTTTCCACACCAACTGCTCCCCTTGCTGATTAGCACCCACACACACACATATATGCCTCCCTCAACCACACACCCTCTCACGTTGCCACTCTTCAGTTGGAAAACACACTCTCGTTCCCTAATATGTCCCCCTCCCCTCCCATAAAACCCCCCTGCTGCTGTCTGTGTATCCTCCCCCCATTTCCTCATCACAGTACCTTCATCAACCCCTGTTTGCCCTTAACAAAGGCCTGATGGGGGAATTATCCATCTTCAAAGGTGGAGGAGGGGTTTAGACACAGACTCATCTTCTTTAGACAGTGTGACTGAAATTAAAGAGTGACTAATTTATGTAATTAAAGACTGAGAGACACTGTAGGTTTCATCATGCATTTTACTTAAATATCTGATGGTTAAATTGATGCTCTACTTCACCATCGTTGAAAAGTTTGGGGTCTGTAAGGCTTTAAGTTTTATGTTTTTGAAAAGTATTTTATGCTTAGCAAGGCTGCATTTAATTGATTGAAAATACATTTAAGAGAGTAATATGAAATATTATTATAATTTAAAGTAAAATTTGAATAATTTAAAAATGTAATCTGTTCTTGTGATGCAAAACAGAATTTTCAGCAGCCATAAATCTAGTCTTCAGTGTCACTTGATCCTTCATTATTTATGTATGCATTTATTTATTGGTTTATTAATTTGATGAATAGAAATAAAAAAAAAATAACATTTTGAATTTGAAATCAGATTTTTTCATAACAGTGTAAAAGTCTTGATCAATTTAATGCATGCATCCTTCTAAATTAAAGTATTAATTTCTGAAAAAAAAAGGTTTTACTGACCCCAAACTTTTGAACAGTAGTATATATTGGTCAATTAATAAAAGATAACATTGTAAATATGGTACAAAATATGTTAAATTTAATTTCAGTGTTTTTGTAGGTCTCATCTGCTAATTTGATTAAATTGATTAAAATGCATTAAATTGTATTATGATCAGTATGGGTTTCAATGGTCAGTGATAATGGAGTACAGGATGGGCTATGAATGATAGTTAAAACTGGATACAATTACTGTCAACCGAACCATTATTTATAATGTTTACAGGCCTTATATAATCTCAAATGAGATTTAGAGAAAAATTATATTCTATAACCTAGTTCTTTATCTTTTTTTTTGTGATTTCTAAGCAGGGTCTTTGTCACAGTTGATGAATACAGCACTGGAATTGTGGGTAGAGAGGTTGACTCATTAGTCTTAAAGATATGGGAGCGAAGCAGATGGCTTAGGATGTCCCACCACCTACAGGATGAAAGAGAGAATGTTGGATGTAACCGAGAGGGACAGAAACAATGCAGGAAACAGGGATGGTGATGATGCAGCAAATATAGATGCTGGGCTGCTTGCTATAGCTGTCCTACTTTTTCTACAGAGCCAAGAGCAGGATGGATATGACATAGTGCGTGTGTGTATATGAGTGTGGCTTTGTTGAATAATTGTGCTGCTTCAGTTGTCATATTTATTCTCAGTCACTGCTTAAAGTCCATAAATTTTTGTCTGGGTGAAGGTTTTAAGACCATTTTCAGTGCGAGGAGACCATGCTCATTTTACAGGGGTGTGTAGTGCTAAGCATTAGCAGAGTGGTACCTTGTGCCCCCATTAAAGTCTGTAAGATTAAAATAGCTCCGGATCCATCAACTTGAGCTCTATGTTATATGACAGAGTGTTGCAGCCGGAAAGGACCTCTTTGTTATCAGTGTAATGTGTTGTCTGTGCTCGGAAAACATCCCAGGAGGTCATGACTTCATGCTACATTAACAACAAACTTGCATTGGACAAGGTCACTGAATATTAACTGAAGTTTAACTAAACTTCCCTGTTCTACATTTTTCCCCCTATAATCCACTACACACCGATGTACATCACTATACAGAAGAAAATATTTGTAGCTACTTCTGTTTCATTACAACTTTATGATTCTATTAGGATTCTATTTATTAATAACCTTTTTAAAGGGTTGTATTGATGCACCTTGATAAAAAAAATTAACTTACAAGAACATAAGTTTAGTCAAGATTTAGTCTCTATAACCTATACCTCTGTCTCTGCGCTATATAATATTAAGCTAGCTGTTTTTGCTACTGTACTGATATTAAGAAGCAAAATTGTACTGATGTCAAAATGATTGTTTTTAGAAGCAAGTTAGCATCTCATCTACTTGCATAATTGAACATTTTTCACAGTGGAACAGGAAAACCAGTGATTGATTTGATCTGTTAGGAGTTGATTGAATCATGAAAAGCTTTGCTTTCAGAATTCTTAACCCCATTTTTTCCTAAAAATAAAAATGTTGTAATCAGTACAACACATTGCACATCATTTTAAAATCAACAGCATAACCCATTTACTAAGTAATGTGACATTTCATATTTCACAGTGAAACAAGAAAATCCACGTTAGACATGCCATGATTTTGGTCCATTAGGAATTGATTGGATCATGAAAAAACATTATTTTAGTCTTTAAGGCTGAGTTGATTGATAAGAGAGCTTTGTGTTATGAGTGACAAATAGACCAAACTCTTTCATTTCCAAATAACGAGAAATTCAAGTTTCCCTCATATGTCCCTTTTAACAAAGAAACTCATATCTGATATTTTTGTCTGTTCCAGTCGCTCATCTTCCTGGGCTGTGTAGCAGCAGCTGGGCTCGGTGTGAACCTGCTGTGTCTGGCCATCTACCTGAGCTGCCTGTGCTGCTGTCGGAAGGATGAGGAGGAAGAGGAAAGTAAGAAATCCAACTCTTGCTGTGTCACTTGGGCTGCTGTTGCTGCTGGACTCATCTGCTGGTACGTACCACCCACCGTTCTCGCGCTGAGAGGATAAAGCCGCTCAAGATGCAGGCAGCATAGTTAAGAGTTCAAGTGTATGGGAGAATGATGTGGTTATATATTCATCGTGGTTATCATGGTCTCTGGCATGGTTGAGCAGAATTTAAAATATACGTTTTCATTAAGAAGAACTTTGTTGTCATCTGTCGCACAATTTTCAGTTTTGAAATGAGTGATGGGAAAGCTTTGCATCAACATGGCAAATACTAGCGAAATCCCCTTTGGCGAATTAGCTCATAACTTCTGGCTGACATATCTTCCTCATTATTTCACCACCTATTTTTATTTATTTATTTATTTATTTTCCATTTTGTCTCTTCCATCCATTGCTCTCTATCTATTTTCTATTTTGAGATGAGAGTTCATTGTGCTACAAAAACTCTGTAATTTTCAGAACTCAATTTTTAAAACCAGGTTTTAATATGAATTTAAACTCTTTTTTTATTTTTTTTTTTAAAGAAATTGATGCTTTTATTCAGCAAGGGGGACATATTAAATTTATCAAAAGTGACAGTAAATACATTTGAATGTTATAAAAGATTTTTATTTTAAATAAATGCTGTTCTTTTGAACCTTCTTTTCATCATAGAATCACGTTTTAGAAGCACAATTGTTTTTAACATTTATATTAATAAAAATAATTTCTTGAACACTAAATCACAATTTTAAGGCTGGGACACACCAAGCCAACTTCAAAGAACTAGCAGCGGCGAAAGCCAATGATGTTGTCGCCTTGCGTTGGCAGTGTCTGCACCAAAAAGCTGCGCTTGAACACACCGCACAGACTGCAGCCGTCTTAGAACAGCCCTCTGTCTGTGCCGTCTTCATTTACTTACTCGTTCTCATCACTTTCGCTTTAATTCTCGGCTTTAATTCACTGTTCGCTAAACTGAACATCCAATCAGAGTTCTCACTCTCGCTGATTCAGACGCTGATTCATACCTTTGTGAGCAGTCATCTCAATGGCAAAAATTGTCCCGAAAGACCTAAATTTACCCTATTCACACATCTTTACTAATCATTTATTAATCATTTGTTCATGTTTTTGCAGTAGCCAATCTAAAGTTGAAACTATTCATCATTTGTAAATGTTTAGAAACGATTACTAATCATTTAATATCTTTATGGGCATTGGACTTTTAACTACTATAACAAGGTTTGTGTAAAGGGTGGCTGGTTAAGTTTAGCTAAATGCTTGCTAAATACATAAATATTGTAATTTTGGTGCAATTTTTTTTTATTGCCTCAACACTCACTTTAGTATACTACTAGGGATGTAACGATTCACTCAAGTCACGATTCGATTCTATTCACGATTTTGAGTTCACGATTCGATTCACGATTATTATCTTTTTTTTAACAAAATGAGATTTAAGACAAATTATAAATTAAATGTGTCGTTTTATTATTGCTTGGACAAAATGCAGCACGTTTCTTTGTGAAATTGAAATATAACGCTATAATAATATACTAATATAGCACTTGCATATTACTGCTCTTTTGTTGGTTTTGATTGCTTCTATTGTCCTCATTTGTAAATCGCTTTGGATAAAAGCGTCTGCTAAATTTCAAAATTTAAATATAATGTAAATGTAAATAACAAAACTAAATTAAAATTTTAAAACAAGCCCCAAATCAAATAAATAAGTAACACAAATAAAATAAATATCTTCATATAAACAAAATAAGGCTTTGTCTGTGCTCTTTCCATTTAAAATTAGAGGCAACCACTGCATTTTAATCTTGATCCAAACAAAGATGCTGCTTGCATGCAACATGAGCAGTTTTTAAACTAAATTAGATTGTAATTTCGAAATGTGAAGCAAAAACAGAATGGTTTGACTTCAGTTTTGTGAAACTATAAATAAAAATATCTGCATGAAACAGCAGAGCTGAATGAGACGCAGATTCACTCTCTGCCAACAGGTGGCGCTTAAACCGTTTCCTGGTTTCCGCTGTAAACAAAGCAGCGCTGAACTTATGAACTTTAATATGCATTATACAGAGGCAAGATACCATCTAAACTTTTCTAAAGACAGTTAGTTCCCCTCAGACATGCATTCATATAAACTCCTACACCTAAATGAATCACGATTTGTTTGGCATCTCAACCGATTTGAATCGTCACATATTTCAATCAATTTTCAACCGGCTCGCAGTTAATCGTTACATCCATATATACTACTCTTCAGTATATCATTAAACAGGATATTCCTTGAATCATAAATAAACAGGAGAAAATAAGGAGTTCATTTATCGAAACAATATAATGTAAACAGATTGAACCGCTTTCCCTTATAGTAATCAAATTGTCCCCTGTACACTGTTGACCCCTTAAAGGGATCATATGACGTTGCTAAAAAAGAACATTATTTTGTGTATTTGGTGTAATGAAATGTCTTTATGCGGTTTAAGGTAAAAAAAACACATTATTTTCCACATACTGTACATTATTGTTTCCCCTTTATGTCCCGCCTTTCTGAAACGCGTTGATTTTTACAAAGCTCATCGTTCTGAAAAGCGAGGTGTGCTCTGATTGGCCAGCTAACTAGTGCATTGTGATTGGCCAAATTCCTCAAGCGTGTGACTGAAATGTTACGCCCCTTACCATACTGTGATGCCGTGTCCCGGCGCGTAAACATAAAACCATGTCCGCATTTGTGATCGGAGAAACGACAAACAACAAGCGCTACTCTACACTGCTCAAAACTCGCGTTTGAATTAGGGATGCTCCGATCTGCCTTTTTCGCTTCCGATACCTAGGGTTCAGTATTGGCCGATACCCGATACCGATCCGATACCAGTGAAGTTTTTTTCCCTAGCACAAAGGGAAGAGAAATTGTGCGTAGTGTATTATATCTGTGCAACAGTTATTGAGCCTTTCTTTTAACAGTTTTAAATTTCAGTTACTGTGCACGTTAAAAACAATTGATAGTCTTTTCTACGCCCGTGTTTTATTCTCACAGGCACCCGGTAGCAAGTAACAAAACATTAAACTCCGGCAAGAAGATAAAGTCCTTTTTGCAAAATCATAGACATGTATTTACAAATCAAGTATAATGGGAACACAGAATGATCTTGGAGAGAGCTTTACTGAGCTGACTGCTGTAACCGAACGCGACCAGGGTTTAAAGGCTGAACGAATGACTGACAGCCACAGCGGAGAAAAGAGTTTGTGTGAACTTTAATGTAAGGACTTAAATATTCATATGTAGCTCACATTAAGCTACCGTATGGCTTCAGAAGTAACACAGAATAATTTGCACAATCGAGCAAAAAAGAAAAAAAAATTATCGGATTTGGATCGGCTCTCTCTGCCCGATACCTGATCCGAGAAAAATGGCACTATCGGAGCCGATACCCGATATGAATATCGAATCGGTGCATCCCTACTTTCTGTGATCGGTGATCAAAAACCCTGATCGGAGCACCCCTATTTTAAAGTTAAATTCATCTATCTGGGGCACTTTGAGAGTTCAATATTAAAGGGGTCATATGATGTTGCTAAAAAGAACGTTATTTTGTGTATTTGGTGCAATGAAATGTGTTTGCGCGAGTGACAATCACACAGTGTGAATTATCAAAGATGCGATCTGAGGGAATTGCCAGAAATATCTGGAGCTGTCGGCAATTCACAATCATGCTGTGTGAAATTATTTCTGACTGAAAAACACATCGGCGATGACCTACAACCAATGAGAGACCAAGATACAGGGCAGC